TTTTTTTTTTTTTTTTTTTTTTTTTTGAGGCCGAGTTTCACTCTGTACCCCAGCTGGCTTGGAGCTTGCTATGTAGACCATCCCAGGCAGGCCTTGCTCTCATAGCCATCTACCTGCCTCTGCCTCTTGAGTGTTGGGATCAAAGGTGTGCACCACCATTCCCAGCAGTAACAAGCCTTCTATTTCACAACCAAAGTATTGCTAAAAATGTGTGTGTATGAGGGTCAGCAAGATGGTTCAGAGGATCAAAGTACTTGCTGCCAAGCCTGATGAACTGAGTTAGAATTTGATCTCAGGAATCCATGACAGAAGGAGAGAACTGACCCCCCCCCAGGAGCACTGTGGCATGCACACTCACACACGTACACATCATAATAATAAATAATATGTGCATGGCAAAGAGGACTGTTCAGAGAGATCAGATATGGGCACTTCCATCCACAGCATTCCCAGACAAAATGGCACTGTGCAAAAATATCCCTAGAGACATGTGAGTTGAGGAATTCTTTCCAGCTAGCAGCAGGAAAATTTGGAAAGACTTAAACAGCATTGGGCACATAATGTCCACTATTATCTCATGCCTAAAGCGAGCCTGGCATATCACAGGCACTCAGAAAACACTTTAAATCACTGGTGAATAAAGGGTTAGGAAAAAGAACCATGAAACAAGAGAAGACTAGCCGTGTCATACCTGCTGGACTGGACGGCTGTGTTTGTGTAAGAGGAGGTGACAGAAACCCGGCTTGGCTGTGCCTGGAACCCCAGTGCTGGGTGGGGGTGAAGGTGGGGAATGAGTGTACCCCGAATCGTAAGCTTCAGGTTCAGAGACCGCAGCTCAATCATTCAGTCAGTCAGTCAGTCATCAGTCAGTCAGTCAGTCAGTCAGTCAATCAGTCAATCAATCAATCAATCAATCAATCAATCAATCAATCAATCAATCAGGTGGAGAGCAATAGAGGAAGATTCCAGACAGTCTCTTCTGGTCTTCAAATGTGTGCACATGCACCTGTGCCACACGTAGGCCTGCACCACACGCATGCACACGTCTCCCCTGCACACACACACAACAGGAGAGGCCACAGGCCCAGGTGGAGGGCTCTGGCTGGGAGGTCTGGCTGACACTGCATCACGAGATCGTCCGCAGTGCTTCTTCCGTGCCTTCCTCTACGTGGCGGACAGAGGGGAGACTGAAAGCCCCATTTTTCCTTCTATGTCCTCAAAGCTATGGCTCTCTAAGCATCAGCCTTTGGCTTTTCTTGTACTTTCCTCAGGGACACATCAGCTCTCAATGAGATGTGTCAAGTTTAAAAGCTGCTTCCTAATCCATTGCGTACTGATATGTGTGAAGGAGTCTTTTACTGTTGTCACAACTAGCCACTTAAGTGATAGTAAATGCTACTTGAGGGGTTAGTTCAGTGGTAGTGAGCTGCCATGTGAAAGGTCCTGGGCTTGATTCCCGGCATTGAAAAACAAAATAACAGAAAAGGATATCATTTGATAATATGGCATGTGAAGATCCACAGAACACGGGAACACTTCTAGAAATACTTTATCTTTTTAAAAACTTTATTACTTTGACTTATTTATTGACTGTGTATGCATGCGTGGGCACTGCACACAGTGCCGGTGACAACTTTCTCCAGTGGCGTCTTCTTCCGTATAGGGCCTGGGGACTGAATGCAGGTCACTGGGCTCAGCCGTGAGGGCCGTTACCCGCAGAACCACCTCACTGGCCCTGAATAGCTTTTTCATAATTTTATTTCCACATAACTATCTGAGATTAGGAAAGAAGACTCACTACTCATAAACAGGAGACTTTCCTTTAAAAAAAGAAGCCCTGCACATCTGCTATCCAGCACCGAGAAGAGTGAAGCAGGGGGATTTTGAGTTAAAGTCCAGCTTGAGCCGTGCAGGGCCCCATCTCAGAAACAGAAACAAAACAAAATATAACCAAGAAAACAAATCTCCCAAAACTAAATCCTTAGCTCCTCAGGTCTGAGGGCGGCAGGGGTGGAATTCCGCCCACCTAACCATCTTCTCCAATCATCACCTCTTACTGTTCACCTTCATAACCAGTGTGAAATAACCATCATGGGAAAATGCCGAGGTACTAGAAAAATCAAAGATTACGAAGAGTATTTTCCTAATCATAGGAGAAAAATACCCATCACCCTACATGTCCTACCTCCAGATCCCTTCCCCCACTGCTAACCTTTTCCCTGTGCTCTGGAACTTTCCTTTCAGCTCATGGGAAGATTCACATGTTCCTACATGGCAGCCAGAACCCTCCTTTACAGTCCTCCTTTTTTTTTCCTTCTTTTTTCTGTCTTTTCGAGACAGGGTCTCCCTGTAGCCACAGCTGGCCTAAATTCGCCAAGGAGATCAGGCTGGCCTTGACCGCACAGAGCTCCGCCTGCCTCTGCCTCCCAAGTGCTGGGATTAAAGGCGTGCATCACCGCACCTGGCCGAAATCATGTTTCTTATTGCAACACAGAATACACATTTTCTTGTCAGTGCTTGAACTGTGGCATTATATGAATGCTACGCAGCATTTTGTTTTCATTTTGAAACAGGTATTTTGCCAGAGACAGCGAGAGATGGGGGGGCAGATAGACAGAGAGGGAAGAAAACAGAGAGGAGGGGAAGACAGAGGCAAACAGAGAGAGAGAAGGATGGGGGGTGACGAAAGGAGAGAAGCCATGTTTCAACTGCACAGACCATGAGGAATTTAGCAAGTAATAACTGAACATTCTTTTTCACAAATCATGCTAAATAAATAATTACTGCCAAGTTTCCTTTATCACTGTTGGGGCTGGAGAGATGGCTCAATAGTTAAGAGCACTAGCCAGCTGCTCTTGCAGAGGACCTGGGTTCAGTTCCCAACTCCCACATGACAGCTAACAGTCATCTGTAACTCCAGTTCCAGGGTATCTGATACCCTCTTCTGACCTCCATGGGCATTTCAGGACACAGGTGTTTTTATATGCATGCAAGGCAATACACTCATACACATAAAATAAAAATAATAAATATTTTTTAAAAAATCTAAGAAAGACACAGTATTTGTGCTCTGCCCCAAGGGCAGCTCTGTGGTAAGGAGAGCTGGAGTTAATATGGGATACTGACATATAGTTAACAAAGGACTCAGGCCATTTATGGTGACGTGTCTGAGATGCTGCAACCACAGATGAGGACCCTTGAACAAAAGTGTTTTGGGAACACTATGGCTATCTACCTTGACAATGGCTTTAGTGATCTGTGGGTCACTCAGAGGCACTTGGGGTTCATTCCAGCCTATGAGAGGAGGACGTACCTTGGTCTGCGCATCCACGTGGGCCCCTTGGTTGACGAGGACTTCGGCCACATTCACTCTGTCTTCTTGGGCAACCAGATGGAGTGGCGTGAGGCCATTCTGCAAGAGATTCCAGGGGCTCGGTCAGGCATAGGAAGGAATGGAAAACTTTTGCACACAACCGTGTTTGAGGTGTGGTGTGGGAAGTTCAGGGATATAGTCTAAATTTAGTTTCTGTACTAAAAAAATCTCTAAATATAAGGGCACACGTTGCTCTGTGGTAGCCCTGTATAGGCACTGTGGTCTGTAGGCTTCAGGAAAGACTCAAGGTGGGGGACCCAGTGGTGGGGATGGAGCAACTAGGTCTTCACCACAGGATCCCACATCTGATCCATCTGTCCCCTTTTCCTTCTCATTCATGTCTCTGTCATAGTATTTTAAATAGTTTTAATTATTTTTATTTTATGTCTATGAGTGCCTTCATGTACTTAAGTGCACCCATGTAGTGCAATGCCCGTGGAGGTCAGAAGAAGACATCAGATCCATCACCTGGAACTGGAGTTATGGAAGGTTGTTAGCCACCATGTGGGTGCTGAGAACTGAACTTGGGCCCTCTGCAAGAGCATCTAGTGCTCTTAACCACTGAGTCATTGCTTCAGCCCTGTCAGTATTTTAAAGCAAAGCTGTCAATACAAGTCACAAAGCAGATGAGAGACAGTTCCAGTGTGGAAGCAGAACAAAGAAATTCACACATCAAGGCACTTCTCAGAAACAGGGACATTAAGTAGGTGGTTCCAGCAAAAGAGCGATCCCAGCTATCGGCCTCAGATGCTGTCTGACGACATTCAGCCTTTTGGTTGGTAGAAACTAGGGTTTTGTTAATACATTTTTAGAGGTTTTTATCTTTTAGTCACAGGATATTAGACCTGATACAGAGGTGGACAAGAAATGGCTATTCAGAGGGCTAGAGATGGCCCAAGAGAAACTGGACTTAGGCTCTGGACCTGCAACATTCCAAACCCGTCACAATCACTGAAGCTCTGATTGGTGGACCAGCCTTGCAGGCGGTTCAGATGAAGGTGCAGGTTTTCTCTGGGAATTTTTGTTCCCAATGCTCATCTCCAAATATCAGAGACTTTAGAAACAAAATTATATAGGCATTTAATATATGATCAATGGCACTAGCTTCCACAAAATTATTAAATAATTAAAAATGTTTTATTATTTTATGTGTATGAATGTAATGCCTGCATATATGTAAATGCACTCATGTTGTGTAATGCCCACAAAGGTCAGAAGACAGTGTCAGATTCCCTTAGAACTGGAGTTATGAATGGTTGTTAGCCACCATGTGGGCGCTGGGACTTCAACCCAGGTCCTCTGTAAGAGCAGCCAGTGCTCTTAACTGCTGAGCCATCTCTCCAGGCCTAAATAATAATTATTAAGTAATAGCTGCTTACACAGTGAATATTGACATAGGACAACAATATCCTCATTCTGTCACCACCCCGGGCCAGATGAATATGGTTTGGACTTGCTTCTGGGTAGGAAATATCTGCTAGATGTGATGTGAAAGTTAGACCAGGAGAGTTTATCAGAAAACTGCAGTTTATAAGGTTGTTTTAATGACCATGAAAAAGGTGGGGGGGGGGAAATTATATTCTGGGTTTAAAATCCTCCAGAATTGTCAAGCATTTGTCCACAAACAATATTTAAGAGCAAGTGAGTTGATGTAACTAGCTCCATATTCTTTTTATAATTAAAAAAATTGTTCTATTTCTTTTTATTTTATGTGTATGAGAGTTTTGCCTGCATGTGTGTAAATGTACATGTGTGTGCAATGCCTGCGGAGACAAGAGGGCATCAGGTCTCTTGGGACTGGAGTTAAGGACTTCTGATCCTCCTGCTCCACCTTCTGAGTGCTGGGGTCTCTGCCACACCCCGTTTATGTGGTGCTAAGGAGTGAACCCAGGGTACTGTGCATTCCAGATAAGCACTCTAGCAACTGTACTACATCTGCAGTCTAACAATCATTTACTAACAAGGAAACGACACATAGTGTTAAACAGAAAGATGGGAAGGATAAACGGAAAGCATGGAGGGCAGAGACTAACGGGAGCTTAAAACAGCCTCAGCTCAGGAAAAATGGAAAGTTCAGAGATTCTCATCAACAACAAAGCTGGCTGTTCTGTTTTCATGAAAGGGCACTTGTGAATGGCCTAATCCCAAACCTAAAACGGGGTACCCACATGGAATCAATGGAAAATTCCACACCAACTTCAAGTGATGGGTCACAATCAAAGGCAGGCAACACAATCAGCGTCCTAGCCCCTTCACCCATGATCCTCACACTTTCATTCATTTGAAAAGTTATTAAAAATATCATATAAGCTGGGGCTGGAGAGACAGCTTGGCGGTTAAGAGTACTAGCTGCTCTTGCAGAGGACCCGGGTTCAAATCCCAGCACCCACATGGAGGCTAACAACCATCTGTAACTCCAGTTCCAGGGGATCTGATGCCCTCTTCTGACCTCCATGGACAACGCCCAACAAGGGTGCACTTACACACATGCAGGCATAATACCAATACACATAGGCATAACAATCATATACATAAAATAAAAATAAATAAATGAAAATAACATAAGGGGCTGGAGAGACAGCTCAGTGGCTAAGAGCACTGATTGCTTTTGCAGAGGACCCAGGTTCAGTTCCCAGCACCTACATGGTGGCTAACGACTACCTGTGACTCCAGTTCCAGGGGTTCAATGCCCTCTTCTGACCTCCATGGGTGTTGCATGCATGTGGTGGACTTAC